CAGTGCGCATGTCCAACTGGCATCGCCCTCAAGTCTGATGGGAAAACCTGTGACCATGGTGAGAAATCAATGTGTTTATCTGATTCAATTTTTTAACTAGTTACCACTTTAGCTAACTCGTCCCTAGTCGGTTGCTCTAAGACCATCTCCGTCCCTTTATAGCGTGGTCTGCTTACCTCATTTGACGTGGCTGCATCATAATTTCTGAATGGCCGCAATCTTGATTCGAGTGCTGCTTTTCTTGACTTGACTCTAAACCGTGTCAAACATTATTGAGGTTAAATATGTGTAAACAAGAAACCTCGTGCCAAAAAATTGTTTTAAAAATTGTAAAAAGCAAACAGCCACATGGACAAATTCGACTAAAAAATTAAAAACAAAAGAAAAAGCACGGTTGTCATACACTAATTATCTATTTGGGTGTAAGTCGTGGAATCAGTGAGAACACCTTGTAAAGAAGTGACGAGATTAGCATGCTAACATTATGTACTACTTGGAGTCGATCACAGGTTAAAATTAGTGATGTCCATAGATACTACTTTCCTCGTGAAAGAAGGTGGTCTCCTATTGATTCATTGTGATCTTTTTACTTGAAATTGCCAGCTTAGTGGTTGACATTCGAGATAATGCCAAATGAATACGGAAAAGCAATGTCTTTCTATAATTTTGTAGAATTTGTAGGTGTCTAATTCTCATAGGCTTATTTATATATATATATATATATTCAAGCAATGTTCTACAAGACAAGCTCAGAGAAATTCCTAATCTTTGCCGAAGCAGACACTGGAGAAATCTACAAGGTTCCTCTGGAAGTACCTGAAACCCCTTGTTATCCTTTGGGAATCACCGCAAACATCTCAAGACCCGTGGCTGTTGATTATGATCCAGTGGAGGGAAAAATCTATTGGACAGACGTAACGTTGGAATTACTGGCCAGGGCATTTCCTAACGGATCTTTAGTTGAAGTCATCGCGTACGGTAACGTGACAACTCCTGGAGGGCTGGCAGTGGATTATGTTGGACGTAATATTTATTGGACAGATGAGGGAGCCAGTAGAATTGAGGTCGCAAGGTTGGATGGGTCATCCAGAACTAGTCTAATCACGTCAAGCGTTGTAGAGCCAAGAGCCATTCTACTTGATATTGGAGAAAGGTAATCTTGAAATTACAAATATGTAGCTGTCAATGATACTGACGCACTATCGAATATCTATGCAAACCAAAGCAATATTAACAAGTTGTAACTCTTCTACAAGTTTGATTGACCGTTGTAGACTTTTTAGAGGTATTCGTTCATGCATGAAAATGTTTGGTGATGTTTGAGAATGTTGACAAATCTTTGGAATAGATAAGGCCGTTAAGAGATAATCCTTCGCCNAGGTTGTTTTTCTTCGGTTAAGTTTACTTTGAGGGTTTAGTGAAGATGTGTTATATCTGGATAACTATACGATGCTATTTTGCTTCTTTGAGTATTGATATATTTCTGTTTTTCACTCGATATTCTTTGAGATATTAGTCTCAGAAATTATATAAAATATCCATCAAATTGTTCTGGAACAAAGTGTCTGGCATTCGCTTTCGCTCGGAAATAATAATCTGTTCGTCCTAGGAAGGCGAATAACGGTCATCGTCCTTTGAGAGAAGCCATTTGACTGTGAGAAACTAAATAAAAGAGATTTTAAACTCCTTAGTCGATGTTTCTTTCATCTTTGTATTTCGCTTTACTCGCTACTTGGCAGACCACCAAGACGTACTCTCCCCAGACCTTTTCAGTCACGGCAGCCGTAGTAGCACCAGCCGTAGTGATTTGCTTAAACTCCCTATTGCCAAATGAATACGGAAAAGCAATGTCTCTCTATAATTTTGTAGAATTTGTAGGTCAGTCTGATTCTCATAGGCTTATTTATTTATTTATTTATTTTTTATACATATATTCAAGCAATGTTCTACAAGACAAGCTCAGAGAAATTCGTAATCTTTGCTGAAGCAGACAATGGAGAAATTTACAAGGTTCCTCTGGAAGTACCTGAAACCCCTTGTTATCCTTTGGGAATCATCGCAAACATCTCAAGACCCGTGGCTGTTGATTATGATCCAGTGGAAGGAAAAATCTATTGGACAGACGTAACGTTGGAATTACTGGCCAGGGCATTTCCTAACGGATCTTCAGTTGAAGTCATCGCGTACGGTAACGTGACAACTCCTGGAGGGCTGGCAGTGGATTATGTTGGACGTAATATTTATTGGACAGATGAGGGAGCCAGTAGAATTGAGGTCGCAAGGTTGGATGGGTCATCCAGAACTAGTCTAATCACGTCAAGCGTTGTAGAGCCAAGAGCCATTCTACTTGATATTGGAGAAAGGTAATCTTGAAATTACAAATATGTAGCTGTCAATGATACTGACGCACTATCGAATATCTATGCAAACCAAAGCAATATTAACAAGTTGTAACTCTTCTACAAGTTTGATTGACCGTTGTAGACTTTTTAGAGGTATTCGTTCATGCATGAAAATGTTTGGTGATGTTTGAGAATGTTGACAAATCTTTGGAATAGATAAGGCCGTTAAGAGATAATCCTTCGCCNTTGACAGACGATTTATAATAGGATCTGAGGGACGGGGGGGTGGGGGTTAAGGGGAGGTGCGCAGTTTCAATATAAAAATCCTGTACAGCAACAACTGCCGAAAAAAATGTACAAGGGGAACCATGGGAAAAAAAATCGAGCAAGCGCTTTTTACCATCCAGGTCCTATTTTTAACGTGTTTAAAATTCTTACACCAGCTATTGCCCACCCAAAAATAGCATGTACATCCTAAAGGTGAGAAAACAAAACGTGCCCGTCGCTGATTCATGTGACCACTCTCCAAATCATAGTTAATAGTGAGGAATGGTTATGAAACCTGACAAATTTCTTTGTTGCATGTCTTTGATCTCTTTTTTGGCCTAGACGGAGCACAAAACACAGTAGCTGTTTACTCCGTACTGAGGAAGTAACCAATAAAAACGTTTTGGTTACGTAATTCATGCATTTTGTATGAACGAAAACAAAAGATTGTGCACGGTCGGGGAGCTTGCAACATAAATCTTGATATCATTGTTTACCCTTTTGATGTTTGTCCAGGCTTCATAACCATTTTCCTCATGTCCCAATGTATGGGCTCTTTAATCAACATTACTGTGAAAGTAATTAGTGTCAAAATAATTTGCCAAATAATGTGTTACTATAGTGCCTTATGCTTTTATTTCATATTACAGATGTTAGTCCTCCGACATTCGTTGTCACCTGTCCAGCAAGTCCGTTGCAGGTGTATGCAGAACGTGGCCTGTTTTCAGCCCAAGTGAGCTGGAGCGAGCCCGTTGCCACTGACAATTCAGGAGTCCCACCTACCGTGACGTCGAATCACCAACCACCTCAAAGATTCAGCCAGGGAACTCACGTGGTCATGTACACTGCAGAGGACCAATCAGCAAACAAGGCTTCTTGTAGCTTTACGATTGAAGTGATGGGTAACACAATGTTTAAGCTATTAACTTTGTTTCCCGGACAGTTGTGCGTTTTCATCAAGGATTGGGATTACCTTTAAAGCAGTTTTTACCGAATTGTTTGTTCACAATCAACTCATTAAAACTCTCCCGCCTGTAAGGATTACTCAAAGTATAGAAAAACAATGAACGATTGACACAACCATACAAGTAAAGACTGTTTGTTTTGACACGACAAAGCAAACGAAGAAAAATAATCTAGACAAAAGTGTTTTAAGGCGCGTGAGCGTTATCAAAAAGTTTATTTCATGTTACACAGTTTCGCAGCTTTAGAATAAATTGCGTTTAGCACGTGTAAAGGGACTCAACTTAAGTGCAGCCAAAATAACAAAGCATGACATTGTGCAAAGTATATTTTGCTTAACATCCTGAACATTCAAATGTAGTTATTAACAACACGTGTACAAGTTATCGGTAAAACAGCTATGAAGGTTGGTAGGTTAGTAAAAAAAAAGCAAAAACTATGACTGCGTTTGCGTTTGCGCGTACGCTTAGTTTGCAGTTGTGAACAAGGCTTTCAGAAATCCTTGGTACAAAATACTTCTCATCAAGATGATTAAAAACATTTTAATTTCACGTTCAATTTTTCCAGTTATCAATTGTACATCGCTGATAAATCCAGGAGGTCCCCTGCTAATGAGCAGCTGCGGCATTCACTTTGGAGCAAAATGTAACTTTTCTTGTACGATTGGTTATCGTTTGAATGGCTCATCCACGGTCACATGTGTTGCCCCTGGTAACGGACCTCCGGGATCATGGGACAGTCCTTTACCTAGTTGTCAAGGTAGGTAATACATAAGGTATGTTTAACTGATTGATTGATCTGAATGATTGATTGATTGATTGATTGATTGATTGATTGATTTACTCAAATTCAATTACACAAATGATCAAAATAAAATGATACAAAGAATTAGGCCAGTT